AAAATTATATTTAAATATTTCATATGTTAATGTGTCGAAGAGATGATTGCGCTGAAATTGAAGGTCCCCGATTTGATCCCCATAAGAGTCGCATCTAAAAGAATTAGAATAATAATTCTATATTATAAGCAGATTTTATCTTAAACAAAGTTATATGTAAGTGTTATCGCGATGCATTCTTTCATGGGCAAGAGCTTCTTTAATTTAATATTATAATTGTTTCTCAAATTAAGGAAATTATGCGATAGAACGTGGTTTATATTTTCCTTTGAGCGGAAATTGCAATTACTTATTTAATATAGCGTAGTTATTAATGCGATTTTATTTGCTCGCGAGAAATCTTTTCAAGGGAAAATTGTCTCGACGTTATTAAAAAAAAATTGACAGTTAAATGGTAATCGTCACAAAAAATATAGAAGATACAATATGCTAACATTGAAGTTATATTGCTATTTGAACACTTTATTGGTTACGATTTCTTGGTAAAATATTTTAATTTATTTGTTACGAAAGCTTACAGCTTTAATAAGATATAAGAGTAGGTACCTAGCTAATCTTTGTTAACTTCTGGATGGTAAAAGCTTTGAACTTTTAAAAATATGTGAACCACTGGTCAAGCTATAAATGGTAAGTATGAATGGCAACTATAGAAACTATATATGGCAACGAAAGTAACACTTTCAGACATAGAAAGTGGTTAGTAGGGTGATCATAAACCGTTTGTACGGGAACCGATGTGGCCGGCTCGCTCCCACTATTCTTCTACCTAATAGATAATAAATTGCCAATCAAACGACGCGACATCGAACCAATCAGCGCTCACACCCGAGAGCAACAGTGCAATCAAAACAAAGTATTGGTCAAGTTATGAGCATCTGCTCACACATTACAGTGGCGCGCCTGCCCCGCCCACAAGGTCTTTCTAACCTCTTTCTGCGTTCTTTGGTAAACTTACCTCAATAGGTATGATGACTACATTTATTTTTCTTCGTGTTTAAGGTAAATTATCAAAAACATTGGACACATATTTTTTCACTAATTCAAAACATTCCTGAGATATATTTTTCGTATTTTTTTTACAAAAAAGTGACTTCACGAGCATGCACTCTCAAACTTTGACGCGCTTTATCTTAAATTTTGGTTAATAAAAGAAAAAAAGTGACCATTATTGTTTGATAATCTAACTTATTTATTTATATGGGTCATATAAAAAAAAACAACATGATAAAAAAAAACAACAAAAAACAAGCAGGCACATAAATACATAAAAACAGCATAAAAAAATGGAAGCACCAACTAAAAGCATAAGCGGCTAAAGGGCGTCAGCCTTTTTAAGCAGTTTCATAAACTCAACTCTGGCAACTCTAGCGATATCGTTGTATGTCGTGGTCGTCGTGTGCCAAGCGGACAACCGATGAACAGCCACCCACTCTCGTTCGACAGAATCTGTTTTTGAACAATCCACCCACAGGGGTATCTCGGTAATCTTGAAGGAACATAGTAAACGAACGAACTAACTGTCGGACTTAATATATTTACGGTCATTTTACCCCGTCATCATCCCTGTTAGCTACACGGTAATTGGTCCATTGTTTTACTCGCACTAAACGCATTAATGGCTCACATTCAAAATCTATATAGTTCGCACCCTCGTTGGTTAAAAGCTTCTTTGTATAATTATTAATTAATTATTAAACGTATGTATTGTTGCTGCCAAGCGGCTTTTCTGTGGGTTTCTACATACAATTAGTTATGCGATAGTGTAAACGAAGTCCTGATACATTTAGAACAATAATTACATGACCTGCTGAATAACGTACTTGCTTTATGCTACACATGTAGGTATGTCATTAATTTCATTTCCTATTAGTGCATTCTATGATAATATGATTATTATAATATGATTATCATTAGCGTATTAAGAGCCCTTTTACCAAATTGCGTTGCTGCCGTACTGATCGGCGCGTAGGTAGATTTGCACTAGTATATATTGCATTTTACGGGTGATGTTTCGAGTCTTATAAAAAAAATATTAATGAACTTATTATAGGAATATAAACATATTTCAGCAGTTTAATGATGGTAGATAGTTTTATGAAAGTTATTGATAGTATCTATTTAATTCAATATCAAAATACGAGGTAAACATAGGTAAACATGCTTTATTTTTTGAGAAAACTGACTAAATTTAGATGTTTTTTTTTTGATAATTAATGAGATGGAAAATCAAAATTCTAATACATTATGTTACAATAAAAACATATTTCTGATTCATAGTAATTAATTTGATCTAATTTTTTGAACATTATTGAGATATTGAGGGGTTTGAATTTGTGCATATTATCGTTTTTTCCGTAAACTAGTTGCGGAAGAACGATTAGTACAAAATAAGGAAAATAGTATTTGCAAATATTCTACCTCAACTTACAATAAGAAGAATAAATTTACTGTTTACTTCTATTGGAAATAGTCAAAATCTTTTCAAAAGGGGTAAACGAGGCGCTCAAAAATTATGATATTTTGCAAAAAATGTGAAAGGGCTCTTCAAAGAAGTAGGGCGTACCGGATTTCCCGCTCCGTTTGGGGAAGACAGAAGATTGCAGTAAAATACCGCTACTTTCTGGTGTTGTGTTTCTGACGGTGAGTAAGGTTCCAGGGCTCCACGGGGCCTACCCCGTGTTTGGGTTGGTGGATTGGGTCAGGGAAGGTAGCGATGTGAGTGATATTTTTGGTATCGCAAGCGTCTATAAGCTACCGCTTCCCATTCGAAGGGTAATATGCTCGTTTGTCACCTTCTTAACATAGAAACGAATCCCCACTGCTGGGCACAGGCTTTCCCTACGTATGGCACAATGCGGATTGTTATTCATTCTATGGTCGACTTATTAAAAAAAATATAAATTTCTACGGTCGCAAACCAAATGAGATAGACGCTGCTTCTTTCAAATAAAGCTATATCACAATCTGATTAAAATCAAGATTTAATTAATGAACAAGTTACTCTCCCATGGTGCGCTAGGCCGAAAAGGAAGTATATCAGTTAGTCAGTAGGCGCTGCCTTGCAGCTTAAAGCTAGAGAGAGTTCGACACGGCTGTCAGGGCCGCGGTAGCATAATGGTCAGTGCATTCGCCCGGATAGCGAGGGTGCGGATTCGAGTCCCGTCTGCTGCCTGGTCCGCGTGGAATTATTTCTAGTAAACTTTTCTTTAGATTTAAATATCTAGCAGTTAAATGCTTAAAAAATAAATTATCAGTTGCAAAGTTTTCACCGATAAGTAGTAGTAACAAGATATTTGTTAAAAATTGTTGTTTGACTAAAGTTGGCAATCAGTCTATATTTTTTCGCACAACTTACAAATGTGGAAATTTCTTTATCGATCTGTGAATGTGACATTTTTACTGTTTTTCTTTGTTTTATTGTACTAGTGGACTACCCTAGCTTGGTTTCGGTGTACAGCTGTAGTATAGACTATAGTTTTTATTCTCAGGGTTGTAATTTACACAATGAATATCTTTATATAATTACTAGCTGTCCCAGCGAAATTAGTACCGCCATAAACATAGGGGTTGGTGGTAGAAGGGTAAAATTTTAGGGTTTTATGTATTTTTGTTGGATGTATCATAAAAAAATAAAAACAAAAATTTTGTCTAATAAAAAAAATTAAGGATGGACCACCCTTAACATTTAGGGGGATGAAAAATAGATGTTGTCCGATTCTCAGACCTACTGAATATGCATATAAAATTTGACTAAAATCGATCGAGCCGTTTCGGAGAAGCTCAATTACGCACACCGTGACACGACAATTTTATTTAATAGAGATAAAAATTCCATGAAAATTTATTTAACTGATAGTGAAAAAGATGTTGCGTAGTTTAGGACCCGTTGTTGGACTAAATGCACTACAGATTTTTTTGGTTGAACGTACAAATCTCAGGACCTAACTCAGGTCCGATTTGAAAAATTCTTTTTAAGGTAAAGGCTTTATAATATTACGCTACAAGTAGAAGGAAAAAAAAGTAAAATGTTTGAGAGAATCTGTTGAATGCGCTGCGTAAATGATTAAAGTTACACAAAAATCATCTATGACGGAATTGTCCCCCTTTAAAAGTTCTATAAAAAAAAGTCTGCGACAACATATGCCCGACTTTTAAGCTTGACTCACGATAACCTTTTTCTTCTAATTAACACGGGTGAAACCGTAGGGGAACTTTAGTTGTGACATAACTGTAATAGTTAGACATGATATCGCGGACTTTTTTGGAAATATTTATGTCCTCTTTAAAACTTTAGTACATCACTACTCTTTTATCAATGACTTCCGTAGCGTAAGCGATATATGGTTTTTTATTTGGTATTTTTTTCACACCCCGGGTTACAGTATCGAATTTTTCATACGGTACGCTAACTTTTTTGAAAAACCTCTATAGCCTATGTTCATCAGGGATAATGTAGAATTCTAAATGTGTAAGAATTTTGATTTTGAATGGTGAGCCTATTTAATACAGACAAATAAACAACCTTTTCTCTTTTTAATATTATATATTACATTATAGACTAAATTACAATTTCAACTAAAGTCGTAAACTATTTCCAGACATGTAATATCACAGGACTATAATTGAACTAATTATTGAATACTTATTTGTAAACAATTTCTCCGAGTACCTACCTATATTTATTATTATCACTTGATCGAAAAAATACGTTACAAAAGTCGTCAGTAGGATATTACACTATTTAAGTACTATGTCATTAACCTTCAGTTTCGTACAGCCCATAAAGGCTTTCATTATACGTATATAATTACCTCATGCCAAAGTTAATAAAAGAATCATAGTTGATTTTATTAGAACACGCATTGAGTTGGATCATTTTAATAGGATACTATAATTAAATTGAAAATCTCATACGTATTAAATTAATTCATTCCCATTACATGCACCGTTTTCTGCACTGTGTGGCTTCGCACTAACACTTCTCTTTCCGCGCCATCTAGTTTTACCTGGCGGCAACTCCTGATCATCAGCGACCCTGAGTCCCAGCTTCACATTGCTGGAAAGTCGACCTGCCACCTCATGATGAAAACCCTTGCGAACTACCTGAAATTCGAGGAGATCCTGTACACGCCATGGGACACGACCTCAGAGGGCGGTCTTAACTACACGGAGAACTTGAAGTTTTATCTCGGATACAAATACACAAGTAAGTTGTAGCTCGTAGCTTTTTAGAATGTAAGGCAGTAAGTATTGTTACACCTATCTTGATAAGTTCAAAAAGCTAACTGAAAATGTCATTGTAAAATGGTGAACTTATTATCGAAGCAAGAAAGTTGCGAGAATAAAGTTTTGATAAAAAATTAAGGTTTTCAAAAACACTGAAAAGGTGTGGTAGGCACCATCTTCGGCGTATTAGTAAAAACAGTTGCCAGAGCTTTTCCCGGCTCGCTACAGCTTCTCACCAACAGGTGGCGCCAGTAGTTGTACTTTCTAATACTGTATATTTTTTTCGATAAACGAACACAATTGTTAGCTATAAAAAGCATTGTAGCTTTATTTATTTGTAAAAATAAATTTCCAATTGTTATTCAAACCGAATTCGGGAAAATCTAAACATTAAAAACCCTAAACCTTTGTAAATTAATCTTGCTACCCACCAATAGATGGCGCTACATGTACCACATGTTTACAGATTCCAGTGGTCGCGAACCATAATCATTTACGAAACCCCCGCGTACAGAGCCTTCGTTGGCGATGACGGGGGCTTCCTACTGGCTAACACAATTCACGCGTTTTTGACGTCAATGGGCTTTGCCGTCTTTGGCAAGGAACTTCGCAGTGACCAACCGCACGATGAAATGCTAAAAGAAGATGTTGGCAACACTTTCGCCAGTGAGTTTGGTTTGCCATGGGGGTTGCACTTTGATTTTGAGCATACACAAAACTTTTTCAGAAGCTTTTCAAAATGGAAATCAGTTTTCTTTTCCCTACACGTTTTAAAGCTAAATGGCTTAAAAATTGTTCAGGGTTGTATTTTTTTTATTCTACAAAAGGTGGCACTGCGTTTGATGAAAGTGATTGTTTTTTACTGTTTTTGAGTGTTTTTCGCAATTTCAGATTGATTTTTCACAAGCATTACTTACACACGATGGGATATCAACATAGTATTATTATTTTATGATCATGTATGTAATATAATAATAATGTTGCATCGATACTACTTATTTAATCCAAATTTCTAGAATACAATTTATAGATTTCTAGATAACAAGAGTCTACTAGCTCCAAGCGAAGTAATTTCGGAAGAGTTGTCATTCAAGTCAAGAAGTGATATTTTTAGTAATTTTAAGCAATATAAGAAATAAAATCCAGTCCCCGAAAAATTATTCGTTGCAGTTACCCTAAAACCGATTAAGTGTATACTTAAATATATACTCTTACTTTAGTAAAAATAACCAATTTTTCTTTTAATACAAGAGTTTCACTTTATTCTCGTCTTTTTTATTTGAAAATGTAATTTTTATACACCAACATACGTTTTTTCCGCATAGACTAGGGTTATTAACTTCTTAAACTACAAAGACCGAACTGAGCGCTAAAGTACCGGATATAATTCCTTAAAAAGATGTTCTGATGTGTAAGATCTTCTATTTCTTCCGTGCCATGTATGCGAGCAGCGCAATGCATTGACCGACAGCTGCACCCATAATTAAAAAAAATTGGCGAAACCGTTCGAAAAGAGACAAACATGTTCACAGTTACAATGTTGTGAACGGTGATGAAACTTTATTACGAGGCGCAATGCAAAATTTAATCACCTAAGTACACACATCAAAAGTGTCTAGGGATCAAGCATTTTTATGCGGATTTCTTGAGATTGAGATGTGGCTTTGTAATAAATTTATGATTTTATAAATTTATATGGATCCTTTTTGGTGCATTTCATAATTTGAATCAGGAACTGTGAATCAAATTCGAGTAAAAGATGAAAATCAGCTGTCAATATTTTCCCTATAAAAACATACAACGCATTGAAGACATTATTAGTGCTACTGTTTCCCTACTACTGATTAAAACCAACGTTATTATGGAGCGGCGACGTCATTTAAGCAGGGAAGAAATGCTCAGAGCCGTGGGAATGATAGAAGCTGGTTCCCGGCAACGTACTGTGGCTTTAGCTCTGAATACAAGTCAGAGTGTTATCAGTCGACTTTGGACACGATACCGAAGCACTGGTACCGTGGCTGAGCGCCATGGAGGACGGTATCGCTGCACCACACGGAGACAAGACCGATACATTCAAATCTTAACTCGAAGAGCTCCAACAATAACCGCCATGATGTTAGCCGTGAGGCTTCATCACTCTTCAGGGAACTTAATTAGCGACCAAACAGTCAGAAACCGCTTGCATGAAGTGAACCTTCATTCCCGAAGACCGCTACGGGTACCACCTATAGCAATGCACAATCGTAGGATTCGATATCAATGGGCTCTTGAACACAGAAATTGGGCAGAAGAACAATGGCGTTTCGTGTGCTTTTCTGATGAGTCTCGTTTTGGTATGAGACCGGATACAAGACGTATACGACACTGGAGAACCCCTGGACGCCAACAGCGATTAAAATCCTGCCAGGAAGTCCATCCTTATAGTGATGGAACCATCATGGTATGGGCGGGTATTTGGATCGGCGGAAGAACTGAGTTGATTTGGATCAGAGGCAACCTCAACGCTCAAATTTATGCTGAGACGATTGTATCAGACGTCATCGTTCCTCTACAAGTGCAAATCGGTCCCTTATTTCAGTTAATGCATGATAATGCACGACCGCACACCGCAAGAGTTGTAAGACAGACTCTCGCCGCAGCTAACATCAATGTCCTGCCCTGGCCTGCTCAGTCGCCAGACTTGAACCCAATTGAGCATGCATGGGATATGCTACAGAGAAGAGCTCTGCCGAATATGGAGGGTATCCAGTCGCAAGAAGACCTTTTTTTGTTGTTGCAACGAACATGGGCGGCCATTCCACAGCGTGATTTGGATGAACTCATTTTGAGTATGCCAAACCGATGTTCTTGTGTTGTTAGTGTTCGCGGTAGAAATACGGATTATTAATTGTTTAAGTTACCCAATAAAATTTTAGAGAAAACTGTTATTTCAGTCTTTTTTTCGAACTTTTGTGTTAGTGGTTCAAATGTCAAAAATCCCTTTATTAGGAAAATGGCAAATTTCTTTATTAATGCAAAGGTGACTTGGTTTATCGTTACTGTGACAAACGAAAACACTTTATTTGATGAATCCTTAAAGAAAATTTTAATTAATATCAATCAGGAGAAAAGTTATTGCAAAAATATATGTTGATCCCTAGACACTTTTGATGTGTGTAGTTACATAATTTCAATTACAATATTAATTATGTTTTTATTTTATATTTGAAGCATTTAACTGCTAGATGTTTAAATCTAAAGAAAAGTTTTGAAAGATTTTTTTTTAAATGCTTTAAAAAACATAACTATAATTTCTTCTTCAAATGTTTAATACTTGAAAAAGTATTCATTTGACATTGTGGGTTGCCTACAATGCGAAGAGACGGCGCTGCCTTGCAGCTTAAAGCTAGGAAAATTTCGACGCGGCCATCAGGGCCGTGGTAGCATAATTGGTCAGTGCATTCGCCCGCATTGCGAAGGGTGCGGGTTCAAGTCCCGTCCGCTGCCTGGTCCGCGTGGATTTTTTTTCTAGTAAAACTTTTCTTTAGAATATTAATGTTAAGGCTCCTTTAAAGCTCTGGTTTTTTCTGGTTACGGAATTATTACTTGAACGGAAGAAATAATTTAATAAATAAAAAAATACAATCGCAAAGGCAATCATTGAATTAGGCATGGACCATAATTATTACTTATTTGTATGAATGAATTTGGTAATCAATAAATCAAAAATTATTCCCTGTCGCTGTTCCGTTAAGTAACTAAAATTATTACCTTAATCAAATATGATAATTATCAGTTAATGATGCCAGTAACCTAATAATGAAAGATGGTGGTTGTAGCAAAAAATAAGAACACAGTATTCATCAAGTTACCTTGTAAGCAACAATTCTAATATCAATTTTGCGTTTTCTATCATAGCACCATTATCATTAATTTCGCATTATCAAACATCTACCTGTTAAACGGACAAGGAACGAAGAAGTCACTTTTTAAATGCTGTTAAGCATTCTTCTAGAAGGAAAGCTAAATTTTGCGCGACTTTCCGCATGGAATTTAGAATTCAACAAATCACAACGAAACCATCCAACCAAACACAAATCCCAGAAAACGTACAAATTGTTATTGTTCGGAGAATATCTCAAAAAACTAATGTTCTCCAGGAAAAACAAAAGTTTTATCTCAATCCAGTAATAAAACTATTTACATTGTCGAATAGTTTTTACGTGATCGAGTAAATAACATCCGAATAAACAAAATTTAATACCTTTAAGTAATAAAATATGTAGGAAAATAGAACATCAAAGAACTTTATTGTTTTATTTGTGCTACTACGGTCACTGGGTATAGGTGGATATAGGTAACTTGTGGGTGTCCGCGACTTTGTTTGCGTGGAAAAATCGGTTTCCCACACAAAATTCCACCACCCTTTTACCCTCTTTTAAGGATGATTTGTGGGATAAAAACTTTCTATCCTATGTCCTTCCCTGGGACTTCAAACCATCTTTGTACCAAATTTCATCTCAAGTTTCAAAACAGACACAGTTTCGCATTTCTAATACACTTATATGGATAGAAAATTTGAGGCATAAGTTTTCTCTATTTCAAAAAATTATAGAGCACACGAGTGACCTCGTTTAAGTTTACTGACACGATTTGCATGGTTAATCACTCACGCAACACCATCATTGCTCTATTCCACGTGCAATCAAGCTGCAGTTATTCCGCCGATTGGCCTGAGGATCAAAACAAGAAACCTTTTTTCTTATTCAAACCTGTTTAGATGCTTCTGATGTTCGAAAGCGGTTCTTCCCGATTAAATGTTTCGGTTGTCTTGGGAATTCGTAGTACACACAACGCTTATACCTATTTGAAGAAAAAAACAGTTTGATTGATTGAAGCCTGAACACAGAGTACTCGTGAGTGCTTGCGCTTGTACAATAGACATCGGCTCAGGCACCCTACTAATATTATAAATGTTTGTCAGTTTGTTTGTTAGGTACT